AGTTGCCCTGGCTGATCCTACTTCAGGACCAGAAGTTGCTCGCAGCTCGACCACCCTCCCGTGCCCAGCTGTCCCCTCTGGTTTCCTCACTGGTCTCTACATCCCCTCGTTCTCTCGGAACTTGGTAGGTGTTGGATACCTTCAGGACCGGGGGATCACAGTCACTTTTCCTGCGCACGGGAGGACTGCGATCTGTACGGACTCTTCCACCGGGGCAGTTCTTGCCACGTTCACCAGAGAGCCCCACTCAGGTCTCTTCGTCCTGCACACTCCGCCCCCGCAGGTAGCTGCGTCTGGTCAGGTTGTTTCGTCCCCCCCGGTAGCAGAGTCCGGTCAGGTTACTGCGCCCCCACCGGTTGCTGTGTCCGGTCAGGTTGCTGTGTCCGGTCTAGTTGCTGCGTCTTGCTCGTGTCGGTCTTTCACCCACCGGACCGTCTTGTGGCACCACCGTCTTGGCCACGCGTCGATCCCCCGCCTCCGCACTATGGCTGGTCACCGTCTTGTCTCAGGTCTCCCTCGCGTCTTCCCGTCGCTCCCTCCCTCGCCTGCGCCGCCGTGCACTCCTTGCGTCGCCGGCCGTCTTCGTGCCACTCCGCACTCCTCCTCCCTTCGTCCGGCCACTGCTCCCTTCCAGACACTCCACTTGGATGTCTGGGGCCCTGCACCTACGCAGGGACCTGAGAGGGAGCGCTACTTTCTGGTGGTCGTCGACGACTTCTCCAGGTACACCACGGTGTTTCCTCTCGCGAAGAAGCCCGAGGTGACTTCTACGCTGATCCGGTGGCTTCTAGCCACTGAGAGCACTCGTGGCCGTCGTGTCTCCTGTCTCCACTCTGACCGTGGGGGTGAGTTTCGCTCAGGCATTCTTGCAGGATTCTGCGGCGAGCAGGGCATCGTACAGTCCTGGACGCTGCCAGAGTCCCCACAGCAGAATGGGGTTGCTGAGCGCCGCATTGGCTTGGTCATGGACATCGGCCGCACGTCCATGATTCATGCCCGTGCGCCCCATTTTCTGTGGCCCTACGCGGTTCGCTACGCCGCTCACCAGCTGAACCTCCAGCCGCGCGTCTCGCGGCCAGAGGCTTCACCGGCCAGTCTTTGGACCGGGTCCCCTGGTGTTGGGTCAGCTTTTCGTGTCTGGGGCTGCCTTGCGCTTGTCCGCGACACCTCTGCGGACAAGCTCTCGGCTCGCGCCGTCCCCTGTGTCTTCCTTGGTTTCCCGGTAGCCTCGGCCGACTGGTCTTTTTACCACCCGCCCCTCCACCAGTTCCTAGACTCCCGTGACGTCCGGTTCGACGAGTCAGTGTCCTACTACACCCGGTACCCCTGTCGAGGTCTCCCGGTTCCCCTTCCCCCCCTTTTCCTCGCACCCTCTCTTCCCCCTGCTCCCGCTCCTCCGGTACCCCCACCCCCCCCCTGGTCCTGCCCCGTCAGGTGTGTCTCACGCTACCCCTCTACCCTCGGTCGCGCGTCAGGTAGCGGCTCTCTCCCCGCAGTCCTCCTCACAATCCCCTCAGCAGCCTTCGGTACTTCCGCGACAGGCTACTGTGGACTCAGTTGGTTTTGGAGCTGGAGGTGCAGCCACTGGCGGTACTCGGTCCGGGGGTGCTCGTTTGAGGGGTGCTGGAGTTGGAGGTGCTGGCGCAGGTGGCGCTAGCCCTGGGGGTGCTGGAGCTGGAGGTCCTGGCACTGGAGGTGCTAGTCCTGGGGGTGCTGGAGCTGGAGGTGCTGGCGCAGGTGGCGCTAGCTCTGGGGGTGCTGGAGCTGGAGGTGCTGGCACTGGAGGTGCTAGTTCTGTGTGTGCTGGAGTTGGAGGTCCTGGCACTGGCGGTACTAGTTCTGGGGGTGATGGAGCTGGAGGTGCTGGCACAGGAGGTGCTGGTCCTGGGGGTGCTGGTCCTGGGGGTGCTGGAGGCGCTGGCACTGGAGGTGCTGGTTCTGAGGAGACTGGAGCTGGAGGCACTGGTTCTGCGGAGTCCACTCCGCCTCCCCACCGCCACGACACACGTCTCCAGGCGGCCCGTCGGCGTGAGCGTGAGGAGCAGGTGCTGTTGGAGAGGGAGCGGCAGGAGTTGCGGCAGTTGGACCTGCTGGAGCAGCAGCAGCAGCAGCAGCAGCAGCAGCAGCAGCAGCAGCAGCAGCAGCAGCAGCAGCAGCAGCAGCAGCAGCAGCAGCAGCAGCAGCCGCAGCAGCAGCAGCAGCCGCAGCAGCAGCAGACACCGCCGCCGCAGCTGCGACCACAGCAGCTCCCTCTGGAGCGGCAGTTGTTCCCACCCGTGAGTGGCCTTCGGGCCCTTGGTCTTCCCTCCTCTCCTCCTGTTCACACTCCGTCCCCTCCAGCGTTTGGTCCCATGTTTCCTCCTCCTGACGACAGTCCGGCGGTCTGGTCTTCTCCTCCACCGCAGTCTCCTCCACCTGTTGTCCCACACTCTCGTGTCCGTCCCTGTCCTCCGCGTGCTCGTCACTCGTCTCCCATTACCGACCTCCGCACTGCCCTCCTTTGTTCGTCTCTTCGTCGTCCTCCTCCTGAGTCCGTTCTCCCGTCTCCGCCTCCGTCCTCTCTCCCTTTCCCCCCTACTCCTGTCACTGACTACTACCGCGCTGTTCGTCCTGTTGTCTCTCGTGTCCTCGCCACTCTTGTCACCGACTCTCGTTTCCCTCCGTCGTCTGTCTCGGCTCTCACTGCCGCTGTCGCTGAGTTTGCTGCCGCCAGTCGCCTTGACTACACCACCCGTGTGGTGCCAGCTCCTCCCTCCCGTCCTCTGTCCGTCGGGGGTGGGTTTGCCCTTGGCTGTGACGTCCTAGAGGACAGAGAGTCTGAGCTGGAGTACTGGGCAGCCGCTTCCCCCTCTGTCTGTGCCATGCTGCTATCCCCTGAGGGAGACCCCGACGCCCTTGACATACCGACTCCTCGCACTTACCGCGAGGCAGTGTCAGGGGCGTGGGCCTCACAGTGGAAAGCGGCTATGGCCTCGGAGTTAGCGTCTTGGAGATCTACAGGCACGTACGTCGACGCAGTTCCCCCTCCCAGGGCGAACGTAGTCGATGGCATGTGGCTCTTCAAGGTGAAGCGGCCGCCTGGATCACCGCCTGTGTTCAAGGCGCGCTACGTGGCTAGGGGTTTCAGTCAGCGTGAGGGAGTTGACTTCTTCCAGACCTTCGCCCCGACCCCGAAGATGACTACTCTTCGGGTGTTACTGCACGTAGCAGCACAGCGAGACTACGAGCTGCACTCCTTTGACTTCTCTACTGCGTTTCTCCAGGGCCGACTACACGAGGAGATCTGGCTGCGCCGCCCTCCTGGCTTCACTGACACCTTCCCACCTGGGACCCAGTGGAGCCTGAGACGGCCAGTCTACGGTCTCCGCCAGTCGCCCCGTGAGTGGCACGACACTCTTCGCTCCACGCTTCGTGACCTTGGGTTTTGTCCTTCCTCTGCCGACCCGTCGCTGTCTGTTCGCACTGGTTCCACTCCTTTCTTTATACTAGTGTACGTCGACGACTTGGTCTTTGCTACAGCAGACAGGGGAGCTCTAGCTCAGGTGAAGTCCGAACTGCAGAAGAGACACACGTGCACTGACCTAGGTGAACTGCAGCGCTACCTTGGCCTGCAGATCACCAGGGACAGAGCCGCTCGCACCATCACACTGACTCAGTCACACATGGTGCAGCAGGTCCTTCGGCGGTTCGACTTCCAGTTCTCCACCACACAGCCCACACCTCTTGCTGTTGACCACAGACTCACTGGCCCCTTTCCCGACGAGCCTTTTGAGTCCAGTGGTCCCTACGCAGAGCTGGTGGGCTGCCTCATGTACCTGATGACTTGTACTCGGCCGGACCTCGCCTTTCCCCTCAGCGTCCTCTCTCGCTTTGTTGCGACTGGGAGACACCGTCCTGTCCACTGGACAGCTGCTGTGAGGGTGGCGAAGTACCTGGCGACTACATCAGGCATGGGGCTTGTGCTTGGAGGGACTCAGCCAGTGGCGTTGACTGGTCACTGCGACTCTTCCTACGCTGACGACGTGGAGACTCAGCGCTCGACTCAGGGTTACTGCTTCAGTTTGGGTGCTGGTGCTGTGTCGTGGAGGTCTACACGGTCGTCGTCTGTGGCTACTTCCAGTGCAGAGGCAGAGATATACGCTGGTGCCATGGCGGCACAGGAGCTTCGCTGGTTGACCTTCTTGCTCGCCGACCTTGGTGAGCGGCCTCGCTCTGCACCGACCTTGTACGCTGACAACAAGGCCATGATCCTCCTGTGTCGAGAGCCTCGACTGGAGAGCAGAGTGAAGCATATTGACGTGAGGTACTTCCTTCTGCGAGAGCTACAGCGACGCGGCCAGGCACGCCTGGACTTTGTGGCCTCAGAGGCCAACACTGCAGACGTCTTCACCAAGGCCCTGGCGCTTGGTGACCACCACAGGTTCTGTGTGCAGTTGGGGCTTGTTGAGGTAGGCCCTCGGTTGCTGTAGACTTGCTGTTTGCTCTGCTTGTTGTGCTTTGCTATATATATCCTAGTGAACTCTTGAACTGGCCTTGTGGCCGCTTGCTTGTGCTCGGAATTTGTGTGGTGTCCTTGAGATCCACCCTGAGCTTGCTTTGCTTCTTGCATTGACTGGTCTTGTGACCGTTTGTTCACCCTGCTTGCTTTGATGCCCCTCACTTAGCCTATGGGGGTGTGTCAAATGTTATTATAGGTTCTTAGGCTACAGTTAGTAGCACTCTAGGGAGTACAACACTTTTAGGGTTGCTATTTGTATCCCTTGTTTCCCTAGTTCACACATTCCGTTGTTCGCTAACTTTGAGAGTGCTGTATTTGTGAAGGAAGGACACAGGTTGAGAACATCAATTGTCTCTCTTTGAAATACGGTACAATGACACACGCAATGACGATAAAATCCAAACATTGCACGAATGGCAGTACTACCCGTATCCTCTTTGCATCTTTGAGAGGAATTCTGGCATCCCGGCCTCACAGAAAAATGGTAGGCTCTCATCTCATGTCACGCCCAACAGGGCAGCCTTCCATAACACATGAATTTCCAGAGCCGCATTGACTCGTCCGTTGTGGCAGCTATGCTGCAAGTGCAGCTGTACTGCAGCAGCTCATCTTGCTCAGTCCTCCAGCTCTTCCCTTGCTGCCAGGGAGGCTTCTGCAGGGGAGCGAGTAGGTTGGGAGAAGGAGAGGGAGGAGACATGATGGGGTGAGAGGACAAGCAGGGAGTCATAATACACACTGGGAACCGGGCCGAGGGAGGAGGGAGGAAGAAACCAGTGAGGTGGAATGCGGTGCTGCTGTGTTGGGATGCGCGGACCGAATGAGCGTAGAGGAACAAATAACCCAGCAGCGGTGTTGCTTGCGATGCCCAGAATCCCAGATGCTGCTCACCGCACTCGTGCAGCTGTGCCTTGGCTTGCTCCCTCCCACCAATGCACTCCTTCAACTGCCTCCCCACCTCCGCCCGCCTCTCCCCACACCGCTTCTCCTCCATTGCTAGCTGCTCCTCTGGTGACCACCCACCCAGGACCACGGGACGAACAGAGAGGCAAGGAGGAGTCGGTGCAAAGGAGCCGCAATGAGCACACTACTGCAGATAGTAGCACACACGCAGTAATCCACAGGGATACCTTTGATTGTTTAAGCGTATTAACCTTTGAGTTGGAAACCTGTCCCCACCCACTGTGCTGTGCATCCCTTGCACGCTTCAGCCCCCCCACCCTTCCCATGCCCCTCCCCAGCACGTCCTTCTGCCCCTCCCGCTCTCCCTCCCGCTTTCTACGGCCCTTTTCCCGACCGCTTCCACTGCTATTTGGGAGTCACTTTTGAAATTACAAAAAAATGACTCCTGACTCATGACTCCCAAACGGCCCCTTTCCTGACCGCTTCCCCTGCCCCACATCTGTCCCCTACTCTCCCCCGACCCACCAACCCATCTCTGTGATCGCGTTTTCCAGTCGCGCCACGTCCCTCAATGCCCCGCGGAGCTCCGCGTTGAGATCCTCCGCGCGGCCCTCCGCGAGCTGCGCGCGCTTCTCCGCTGCCACCGCGCGCGCTTCCGCCTCTCTGAGGTCCCCATTATCATCGCGGCACGTCTCTGAGCGTGAAATTACGCGTGACGTGCCGGATTCCCCGCTTGCGACTGCAGAATTTGTCTCTTCACGTCCGCATTCATCGTCAAAAGCGACGCAATTCCCGTGCTTTCCATAAACGGCGCCGCCATCTCCGCTAGTTACCCCAGCTCTGGCTACGGGGTGGCAGGATTGGAAGAGGAAAGCAAGCAAGAGGGATACAAAGAGGACAAATGGCTTGTGCTTGAAGAGAAATTTCGGGGAGCTTGAATTCATGATTTCTCCACTGGTGGTGGTCCGTGCAGGAAGGTCGGGGAGTTTCAGCCTGCGCCAAGTCCTCACCGATCTATGCACGCCAAGCAATACTCTATATTTTTTCACAAAGCTTTGGGAGCGACGATATCAAACCACTGAGAATGTTTACGTAGAAGTTAGCTTCCGATTTCTCCCACAGTGTTTTCACATAATGCAATAAGTAACCCTCGTTAGCATCAGCTTCCCTCGACAGAATCACAAAGCGTGTGGGCGTTACTACAGTGAACTCTACACGTTGTATCGGCTCGGCTGACAAACTGAAGTGACTGAGCTGTCATTGGCGCGCAATGCGACTGCGGAACCTGGCTGGCACGCTCGTGCACTCTCCTGGACCGTGCATTTGTACAGTATAAAGTACAGTAAGATCTAATTAATTCTGGAACTACACGTATATTGAGCGGGAGGGAGGTACACCGTACTGTTTTGGCTGGTGCCTGCCTGAGACGTCTCGCCTCGGCTCGCCTCGCCTCGCCTCCACTGTGCTCACTACGTTCCTTGTGGAATCACTAACGGAAAGACAGAGAATGTGGCTGCATACAGCCCAACGCCTAGTTGCCAGGCGGGTATCGTGTAGCCCGCCGCCACACGTCCCAGGGCAGCAGCACTCTCCGTCGATCACGCTCCGTTCCAGATTTTTCTCTCTCTCTCCGAATTCGCGTTTTTCCCACGCGCGCCTTAGCGCCATCGGTTCCTCGTGCACGCGACATCACGCGAGTCGATCGACTTTCTCGTCCTCTTTCCTGTAATTATCCTAGGTCCACCCGTACAGACATTCCCGCTGCGTCTATCCGAGTCGTCAATTCCGCAAGCCAAAAACCGCCAGTGACGTCTGAGGTGAACAGACCAATAATTAGCCGCGGCTGGGGATGCAACATTCGACCCTCGGCCAAGCAGCGATCGGGTTATCGTGTCCATTAATAAATCCTGCTTGCATCGGCGCAGCGTCCGGCAGCCTTCGTGGAAGAACCACCGCCCCCGCCTCCGCCGCCGCGTCCGCGTCCGCGTCCGCCTCCGCGTCCGCGTCCGCCTCCGCGTCCGCCTCCGCGTCCGCCTCCTCCTCCGCCTTCAGCCTCCGCCTCCACCTCCGCCTTCGCCACCGCGACCATCAGCGCCACCGCGACCATCAGCGCCACGGGCTGTCACAGAGCCGAATACCAATTCCGCCTTTCGCATCGCCGCTGCATTCACCCGAACTCGTCAACTCCGTTTCAATTTGTACGATTAAATACTAAAACGCTGATTAGGCATCTCCCGCGCGAAAATGAAGGAGGCCGGCGCGAGCAGCAACAGCAGCAGCAGCGGCAGCGGAAGCGAGTGGGAGCGCGCGCAGCAGGCGGTGCGCGTGAGCGTGGACCTGGTGGCGGCGGCGCAGCAGCATTTCCGCCTGCTGCGTGCCGTGGACTGCTGCGCGGGCCTCTACTCCGGCCCCGCCGTGCGCCGCGCCATCCGCAGGCGAGTGACGGTGCTGGGAATTTGTAGAGAGGGAGGGGGGATGGAGGGGGGATGGAGGGGGGGTGGAGGGGGGTTGGAGGGGGGTTGGAGGGGGGGTGGAGGGGGGATCTGTGGGGAGGAGGGTGAGAGAGAGAGAGACGGCATTGCAGAATTGTGAGTATCTTGTGCAGGAGGAGGCGTGGTCTCTGGTCATGATCATCTTGTGCTCTTTGTGCTGCTGCTGTGCTGTTGCGCCCCTATGCTGTTGTTGTGCGCGGTTTCCCCCACGGGAGCAGGTACGAGCGGTGCTGGCTTCCACTCCTGGACGAGGTGCAAGGGGGACGGCAGGGAGCAGCAGCAGCAGCAGCAGCAGCAGCAGCAGCAAGCAGGGGAGGAGGAGAGACAGAGCTGCCATCGTGCCTCGTGCCGCCTCTGGACGTGCACTGGATATGGCTGTGCCACAGACTCGCGCCTGTACGCCACCGCTGCTGGCCCTTTGCCTTTCCCATATGTGCCGTTGTCGTTGTCGTTGTCGTTCTGAGGGTGGTCTCTGAGCTCACTGCATTGCAAGCAAGTACCTTTCCCCGTCATGTATTGCAATCGTTCAAATTGCGCTGCTGCAGCAGCAGTGCATGATTGCGCATGCTTGTACCGTCATCCACGTGCTCCCATCCACGCGCTCCCATCCACGTGCTCCCATCCACGTGCACCCATCCACGCGCTCCCATCCACGTGCTCCCATCCACGTGCTCCCATCCACGTGCTCCCATCCACGTGCTCCCATCCAACCCACGTGTGTTTTACATGTAAAACTCCTCCTGTTTCTTTCCCCATCTCTCTTCCCTCCTGTCTCTCACCCAAACCCTCGCTCCTGCCTGCCTCATCCGTGCCCACTCGCCCCCACCCCAGGATGCATACGCGCGTGACTGCATGGCAATGTTCTCCCGGGTTCTCGACTGCCCTCTCCCGCTCCTCGACCCGGCTGCCGCCTCCTCCTCTTCCTCCTCCTCCACCTCCTTCTCCTCCTCCTCCTCCTCCTTCTCCTCCGCACAGTCCCCGCACTCCCCATCCCTGCTCTCCCCGCCCACCCCCTCCATGCACACGCACTCGTTCAACCAATACGCGGACCAGCAGCAGCAGCAGGCGGAGGCGGTGGCAGTGAGTCGGCGAGTGTGGAACGAGAGGTGGCCTGGTGACCCCTACGACCTGCACTTGTTCCAGCCAGGCGCCAACGCTGCTGCCGGCGCTGCTGCTTCCCTCGCCGCCTTGCACCTCCCGCCCAGCCTGCTCGGTCCTTCCTCTAGCTTCCGCTCCACGCCTTCCTCTCTCTCCGTTGAGTCTCCACGTGCTCCTTCTGCTGCTCCTGCTGCTGCTGCCACTGCCGGTGCTCTTGGTAGCCGGGCGGAGCAGGAAGGAGGGGAGTGTGCAGTTGGGGAGGAGGAGGCAGCAGCGTCGTCAGTGCAGGAGAGGATATCGTATGACCTAGAGGCAGCAGTGGCACGGCAGGCGCAGTTCTATCACCAGATAGCGCGCCCGCACATGCACGACGCCAAGTACCTTGTAGGAGCTGTGGAGCGCTATAAGGCCTTCCTCTGGCTGCTCAAACACCATCTCCCTGCTGCCGACTCCTCTGCTGCTGCTGCTGGTGGTGCTGGTAGTGGTGGTGGTGACGGCAGTGGTGGTGCTGGCAGCATGTTTATCCCTGCTCTAGACATCGACTTCGTGTGGCATGCACATCAGGTGAAGCCCGCAAGGTGAAACAAACCCATCCACTGACTGAACAGCTTTGTGGTTGAACCCACTTCAACAGCCCAACTTCCAGTCATTCCCCTTCAGCCCCTCTCTGTGCAGCTCAGCTCAACTCCCCTTTCTCACTTCCACACTTCATTCAAACCCCTCTTACAAAAAAAATGATTTCTTTCACCCCCGTCCTTTCTCGTTCCGCAATTCATTCAAGCCCCTATGTCGTTCTCTCATCTCCCCTCCCGTCGTGTGCAGCTCGCGCCTCTGGCATATGCGCACGACTGCAACGTCCTCCTGGGCCGTTTGCTCGCCCACCACGACTCCCTCCCCGACCACCACCACCACGCCCCTCCCACCTCATCATCCCACCCGCCCCTCTCCTCCTCCTCCGCTCATCAGCAGCAGCAGAGGCCGTCTCTCGCGTCTGCCACCCAATCCACAGCCGCCACGTGGCTGGGTTTCTACAACCGGCCCTACGCGCGAGCAGGCACCATTCGCAAGGAGCCCGCGCCGCCTCCCTTCCCATTCCCCCCTCCCTTGAAACCCAAACACGGCGTAGGAGCGGGAGCGGGAGGGGGAGGAGGGAGCGGAGCAGGGAGCACCGCCAGTGGGGCGAGCAGTACCGGCACAGGAAGCCACCTCCCCTCAGGAAACAGCTCCCGAGGGACCTCCAAGATCGCCTCTCCTGTGTCCTCGCCGGGAGCATCCCCGATACAAGACACGCGGGGCGAGCTGCGCGCCGGCATCCCCCCTCGGCACGTCTTTGACGCGACCCTCTCCCTCCTCTCCGTCTCCTCCCTGCCTGCCTCTCTCAAAGGCGACCTCTCGCTGCAAATCTCCGCCCTCTCCGCCTGCCCCTCGCTCCGCCTCCGCTCCCACAAGCTCCCTCTCCCCCTCCCCTCGCAATCCACCCCTTCTCAATCCCTTCTGGCAAACGAGCAACCGTGGCCGAGCGCTCCCACGTGGTGGCTATCACTAGACGTGGAGACCAAGGGCGTGGTGCTGCAATTGCTGCTGGAGCCGCCTAAGGGGCGGCTGTCGGGAATTGCGGGCATGGCGGGGATGGGCGGCGCGCACAAGGCGAGGAGTTTGGGCGAGGTGACGGTGCTGTGGAGCGATGTGTTTGCTGCTAAGGACCTCTCGTGGCATGGGGCGCTGGCGCTGGGGTCGGGGGCAGGAGCGGGTGGGAAGGTAAGGCGCAGGAGCGGGTGGAAAGGTAAGGCGCAGGAGCGGGTGGAAAGGTGAGGGGGGGTGCCTGGGGTTGAGAGGGGTGCTTGCCTGATCCTGCGTTTGTGGCGAGTCAGAATGAAGCCTGCGTTTCATCAGCTCTCCTCTCCTCCCTCCTCCTCGTCCCACCGATACACACATGTGGTGTTGCATGTGCGTTCACGCATTCGCCTTCGACTCGTTTTAGTCCATTCATTGGGCAGTGATGCCAACCAACCAGCCAGTGTGCTCACTCACGGTGTGTCCCTCTGGACTGGGGTCATGTTCCCCATGTTCTCGTCCCTTCCTTTTGGGTCGACTCAAAATTCAGATGCCAACCAGCCAGCCGGTGTGCTCACGGTGTGTCCCTCTGGTCTAGGGTCATGTTCCCCATGTTCTCATGATCTCATTTCTTCCTCTGGCAGGGCGCCTCTGATCATCCCCATGTGCGCATTCACGTCACCGCCACACCACCTCAGGTAAGACTCTCCATCTCCCCTCCCCCTTCCTTCCCCCCTCCATCCTCCCCCCTGCCCCCCCCCCCCCCCCCCTCTTCCTGGCCGTCTTCCTCCCATCTCGTTCACTTTTCCCCGTCCCCTCTACCCATCATCCCTTTAACCTCGCCCCTGCCCCTTTCCTCTACCTCGTCCTGTTTCAACAGCCCATCCACTTTGTCCTCCCCCGCTCAAGTCTCCTCCCACTCCCCTCCACCCACTCCCCTCCTCCCACTCCCCTCCTCCCACTCCCCTCCTCCCACTACCCTCCTCCCACTCCCTGTACGCTCTCACACCGGTGTCTTGCTCTAACCTGCCGCTTCTCCTTCTCTCCCGCTCTCTGCTGTCCCAGCCGGCACCAGTGCTGCTGATGCTGCAGCCGGCAGTGGGCACGGACGACAGTGGGCTGCAGCTCACAACAGTGGCAGCGGCTGTGCTGAAGCAGCAGCAGGAGGGGCGGTGGATGGCGCGCACCGTGGTGGACCACACTCTCTCAGACCGCTTCGTTCTGCGCACCCGGTGAGATGATATCTCCTCGCTCTTTGTAACTCTGACTTGAGGCACGCTTTGGAAAGAGCCAGCAGTAGCAGCGGCCCCAGCCTGCAGGTGCAAATGGCTAGCCAGGCCACATGGGAAGCAGCAGCGCCATGCCATGGCAACCCTGCAGGGCACATGGGAACTGAATTGAAGTGGAACGAGGGGACACAGTCACTGTTCCTACCAGGTCACGTCAGGTCAGCCGCCCTTATCGTCTCGCTGTCCCCATCACTCATTCTTCCGGTCACCCCTTCCCTCCCCTGCCTCCCTCACCCCGCTCCCCGCACTTTTCCTTCCCCCCACACATCTTCCTCCCTCCGTCCATGCGCGTGCGTGGGTGCAGGGTGGCCAAGGGGCACGGGTCACAGCAGGTGGAGGTGCCACCGGAGTCGAAGAGGGTGCTGCTGCACAGGGGAGGCTGGTCGCCCTCTCCCAAGGTCAAGGGCGCTCTTCTGGCCGCTGGTGCGTGCATGCATCCCATCCCATCCCATCCCATCCCATCCCATCCCATCCCATCCCATCCCATCCCATCCCATCCCATCCCATCCCATCCCATCCCATCCCATCCCATCCCATCCCATCCCATCCCATCCCATCCATCCCATCCCATCCCATCCCATCCCATCCCATCCCATCCCATCCCATCCCATCCATCCCATCCCATCCCATCCATCCCATCCCATCCATCCCATCCCATCCCATCCCATCCCATCCCATCCCATCCATCCCATCCAATCCCATCCCATCCCATCCCATCCCATCCCATCCCATCCCATCCCATCCCATCCCATCCCATCCCATCCCATCCCATCCCATCCCATCCCATCCCATCCCATCCCATCCCATCCCATCCCATCCCATCCCATCCCATCCCATCCCATCCATCCCATCCCATCCCATCCCATCCCATCCCATCCCATCCCATCCCATCCCATCCCATCACCATCCCATCCCATCCCATCCCATCCCATCCCATCCATCCCATCCCATCCCATCCCATCCCATCCCATCCCATCCCATCCCATCCCATCCCATCCCATCCATCCCATCCCATCCCATCCCATCCCATCCCATCCCATCCCATCCCATCCCATCCCATCCCATAATCCATATCCCATCTCATCCTATCCCATCTCATCCTATCCCATCCCATCCCATTCCATCCCATCCCATCCCATATCCCATCCCATATCCCATCCCATCCCATCCCATCCCATCCCATCCCATCCCATCCCATCCCATCCCATCCCATCCCATCCCATCCCATCCCATCCCATCCCATCCCATCCCATCCCATCCCATCCCATCCCATCCCATCCCATCCCATCCCATCCCATCCCATCCCATCCCATCCCATCCCATCCCATCCCATCCCATCCCATCCCATCCCATCCCATCCCATCCCATCCCATCCCATCCCATCCCATCCCATCCCATAATCCATATCCCATCTCATCCTATCCCATCTCATCCTATCCCATCCCATCCCATTCCATCCCATCCCATCCCATATCCCATCCATCCCATCCATCCCATCCCATCCCATCCCATCCCATCCCATCCCATCCCATCCCATCCCATCCCATCCCATCCCATCCCATCCCATCCCATCCCATCCCATCCCATCCCATCCCATCCCATCCCATCCCATAATCCATATCCCATCTCATCCTATCCCATCTCATCCTATCCCATCCCATCCCATTCCATCCCATCCCATCCCATATCCCATCCCATATCCCATCCCATCCCATCCCATCCCATCCCATCCCATCCCATCCCATCCCATCCCATCCCATCCCATCCCATCCCATCCCATCCCATCCCATCCCATCCCATCCCATCCCATCCCATCCCATCCCATCCCATCCCATCCCATCCCATCCCATCCCATCCCATAATCCATATCCCATCTCATCCTATCCCATCTCATCCTATCCCATCCATCCATCCCATCCCATCCCATCCCATCCCATCCCATCCATCCCATCCCATCCCATCCCATCCCATCCCATCCCATCCCATCCCATCCCATCCCATCCCATCCCATCCCATCCCATAATCCATATCCCATCTCATCCTATCCCATCTCATCCTATCCCATCCCATCCCATCCCATCCCATCCCATCCCATCCCATCCCATCCCATCCCATCCCATCCCATCCCATCCCATCCCATCCCATCCCATCCCATCCCATCCCATCCCATCCCATCCCATCCCATCCCATCCCATCCCATCCCATCCCATCCCATCCCATAATCCATATCCCATCTCATCCTATCCCATCTCATCCTATCCCATCCCATCCCATCCCATCCCATCCCATCCCATCCCATCCCATCCCATCCCATCCCATCCCATCCCATCCCATCCCATCCCATCCCATCCCATCCCATCCCATCCCATCCCATCCCATCCCATCCCATCCCATCCCATCCCATAATCCATATCCCATCTCATCCTATCCCATCTCATCCTATCCCATCCCATCCCATTCCATCCCATCCCATCCCATATCCCATCCCATCCCATCCCATCCCATCCCATCCCATCCCATCCCATCCCATCCCATCCCATCCCATCCCATCCCATCCCATCCCATCCCATCCCATCCCATCCCATCCCATCCCATCCCATCCCATCCCATCCCATCCCATCCCATCCCATCCCATCCCATAATCCATATCCCATCTCATCCTATCCCATCTCATCCTATCCCATCCCATCCCATTCCATCCCATCCCATCCCATATCCCATCCCATATCCCATCCCATCCCATCCCATCCCATCCCATCCCATCCCATCCCATCCCATCCCATCCCATCCCATCCCATCCCATCCCATAATCCATATCCCATCTCATCCTATCCCATCTCATCCTATCCCATCCCATCCCATTCCATCCCATCCCATCCCATATCCCATCCCATCCCATCCCATCCCATCCCATCCCATCCCATCCCATCCCATCCCATCCCATCCCATCCCATCCCATCCCATCCCATCCCATCCCATCCCATCCCATCCCATCCCATCCCATCCCATCCCATCCCATCCCATCCCATCCCATCCCATAATCCATATCCCATCTCATCCTATCCCATCTCATCCTATCCCATCCCATCCCATTCCATCCCATCCCATCCCATATCCCATCCCATATCCCATCCCATCCCATCCCATCCCATCCCATCCCATCCCATCCCATCCCATCCCATCCCATCCCATCCCATCCCATCCCATCCCATCCCATCCCATCCCATCCCATCCCATCCCATCCCATCCCATCCCATCCCATCCCATCCCATCCCATCCCATAATCCATATCCCATCTCATCCTATCCCATCTCATCCTATCCCATCCCATCCCATCCCATCCCATCCCATCCCATCCCATCCCATCCCATCCCATCCCATCCCATCCCATCCCATCCCATCCCATCCCATCCCATCCCATCCCATCCCATCCCATCCCATCCCATCCCATAATCCATATCCCATCTCATCCTATCCCATCATCCTATCCCATCCCATCCCATCCCATCCCATCCCATCCCATCCCATCCCATCCCATCCCATCCCATCCCATCCCATCCCATCCCATCCCATCCCATCCCATCCCATCCCATCCCATCCCATCCCATCCCATCCCATCCCATCCCATCCCATCCCATCCCATCCCATCCCATCCCATCCCATCCCATCCCATCCCATCCCATCCCATCCCATCCCATCCCATCCCATCCCATCCCATCCCATCCCATCCCATCCCATCCCATAATCCATATCCCATCTCATCCTATCCCATCTCATCCTATCCCATCCCATCCCATTCCATCCCATCCCATCCCATATCCCATCCCATATCCCATCCCATCCCATCCCATCCCATCCCATCCCATCCCATCCCATCCCATCCCATCCCATCCCATCCCATCCCATCCCATCCCATCCCATCCCATCCCATCCCATCCCATCCCATCCCATCCCATCCCATCCCATCCCATCCCATCCCATCCCATCCCATCCCATCCCATAATCCATATCCCATCTCATCCTATCCCATCTCATCCTATCCCATCCCATCCCATCCCATCCCATCCCATCCCATCCCATCCCATCCCATCCCATCCCATCCCATCCCATCCCATCCCATCCCATCCCATCCCATCCCATCCCATCCCATCCCATCCCATCCCATCCCATCCCATCCCATAATCCATATCCCATCTCATCCTATCCCATCTCATCCTATCCCATCCCATCCCATCCCATCCCATCCCATCCCATCCCATCCCATCCCATCCCATCCCATCCCATCCCATCCCATCCCATCCCATCCCATCCCATCCCATCCCATCCCATCCCATCCCATCCCATCCCATCCCATCCCATCCCATCCCATCCCATCCCATCCCATCCCATAATCCATATCCCATCTCATCCTATCCCATCTCATCCTATCCCATCCCATCATCCATCCATCCCATCCCATCCCATCCCATCCCATCCCATCCCATCCCATCCCATCCCATCCCATCCCATCCCATCCCATCCCATCCCATCCCATCCCATCCCATCCCATCCCATAATCCATATCCCATCTCATCCTATCCCATCTCATCCTATCCCATCCCATCCCATTCCATCCCATCCCATCCCATATCCCATCCCATATCCCATCCCATCCCATCCCATCCCATCCCATCCCATCCCATCCCATCCCATCCCATCCCATCCCATCCCATCCCATCCCATCCCATCCCATCCCATCCCATCCCATCCCATCCCATCCCATCCCATCCCATCCCATCCCATCCCATCCCATCCCATCCCATCCCATAATCCATATCCCATCTCATCCTATCCCATCTCATCCTATCCCATCCCATCCCATTCCATCCCATCCCATCCCATATCCCATCCCATATCCCATCCCATCCCATCCCATCCCATCCCATCCCATCCCATCCCATCCCATCC